ATAATACATGGGCATGCCTCTCTAAAACATGGTCGTGCTTGACTCAAAAAGGCCTAAATGACTCGTTCTTCGACCAACGAGCTTCGTGAAAGTCCATTGGCCTCGGTTTAGTCTCATGACTTCATAAAAATCTCCATATTTGCTTCGTTAATCCTGAAATACATCAAAAACAACGAAACTATCCACAAAAGCATCGAATCATCGAAACTAAACCAAATCAAACCAAAATGAACTAAAATACTAAGCTAAACTAATCGAAACAACTAAAAAGAGGCTAACAATTGTGCACAAAACACGGCTTATCAATGGTAGGTATCAGTCTAGTCTATAAGGTTTGTGGGATAAGATCAAAATTTGAATTAAAACTGATTTTGTTACTAGCCTTTATCCGTGAAACCATTTATGACTTTTTTTTTCAGTTTTCAAAATCAGTTTCTGTAAATTATCTGTAACCAATTTTTTTTTTTCTAATAATAAATCCAAAAATGGAAAATAATAATTATGAAATTTATTACTACAACATATAAATTTGATGTTAGGCCAGCTAGCCACAAGTGATCCACATTAGTATGATATTGTCCGCTTTGGCCCAAGCTCGCACGGATTTGTTTTTGGGCATCTCCCAAAAGGCCTCATACTAATGTAGAGTGGTAGCACTTTATAAGCTTGACAATTCATCCTTACTTAGTCGATGTGGGACTTGGGATGTATACTCTTCAATCCCTCCCTCAGACCAAGGCCCACAACACCATGTGGCCTCATCTTCCACGATTATCTGTCTACTTGTAAGCCCGTAACCCACGGGACCTTGCTTTTCTGACCCCCGTCAAGAAGACAGTCACTACAAGCCACCCGACAGATTCTCCCATCGTGAGGACCGTCTAAGAACCCGCCACCACACCATTAAGGATTTGGGTCAAACCATCGGCTCTGATACCAATTGTTGGGCCCGCTAGCCACAAGTGATCCACATTATAATATTGTCCGCTTTGGGCCAAGCCCGCACAGATTTGTTTTTAGGCATCTCCCAAAAGGCCTCATAATAATGTAGAGTGGTAGCATTTTATAAGCTTGACAATTCTTCCTTACTTAGTCGATGTGGGACTTGGGATGTATACTCTTCATTTGAGAATAATTATAAATTTTAAAGTTTATACAAGAAAATTTGTTGACTAAATATACTCAAAAATTTTGGGTATTACATGTACTCCCCCTAAAATGAAAGTTCGTCCTCGAACTTTAAAGTTAGCTCTCAAAATAAGGCTCACACGATGACAAAGGCTAAGTTAGTATTACATTCTACCCCCCTTTAAGAGTTTCGGCCTCGAAACTCAGCATACCTGCTTAAAAAGTTCTGGGTAGCGCTTTTTCATATCATGTTCAGCTTCCCAAGTTGCTTCTTCAGAATTCTGATTAGACCATATCACTTTAACTAACTTTACCGCCATGTTTCGAGTACTTCTTGTTTTGGTGTCAAGAATTTTCACAAGGCGTTCTTCAAAAGTTAAGGTATCATGGGTACTTCTTGTTCATAATGTTTTTCATGTTATCCGACTCAGAAACTTTATCTCGAGTTGGATAACATGGGTAAGGTCATGAACATACTTTCTGAGTCGGGAAACATGAAAAACATTATGAACATTGGCTAACTCCATGGGTAAGGCTAGTTGGTATGCCACCTCTCCAACTCTCTATAATACTTCATACGGCCCAATGTATCTAGGACTTAGTTTCCCTTTTCTACCAAACCGCATGACTCCCTTGGTAGGTGAAACCTTAAGTAAAGCCTTTTCCCCAACTTCAGTTCCACTATTCTCCTATTCTGGTCTGAATATGACTTTTGTCGATACTGAGCTGCCTTCACGTTTTCCTAGATAAGCCTAACTTGCTTCATTGTTTCTTCAATCATCCTGGCCCCAAAGTTAAAGACTCACTAATATCACTCCAACACAAGGGACTTCTACATTTCCTTTCATACAACGCTTCATAAGGTGCCATTCCTATGCTCGCATGATAGCTATTATTATATGAGAATTCAATCGTAGGTAGTCTTTCGTCCCATGATCCACCAAAGTCCATCACACAAGCTCTTAACATGTCCTCCAAGGTCTGAATTGTTCTCTCTGTTTGTCCATCTGTAGCAGGGAAAAACGTTGTGCTAAACTTCAGGGTAGTGCCAAATGCTTCCTAAAACGTTTCCCAGAACTTTGATAAAAATCTTGGATCTTTGTCTGAAATGATATCTTTAGCAACTCCATGTAGCCTCACAATTTCTTTCACATAGGCATCTGCCAACTAATTCACATTCCAAGTGTCCTTTATTGCTATGAATCTTGTTGTCTTCGTTAAACGATTGACTATGACCCAAATCGCATTCTTTGCTGCCCTTGTAACACTACACGAAAAACCTAATTTGGCACCGGTTCAAACCCCCCCTAAGGCACCAGTTTTGAACCGTTGGGGATTTGAGGGATGCCAAATCCTCAAAAATTTGGCACCGGTTCAAAACCGGAGCCAACTAAAGCCATTTGGCACCGGTTAACCGGTGCCAACTACCTTGAATTTAATAAAAAAAAAAAAAAAACTAGCGCCATTAAGTTGGCACCGGTTAACCGGTGCCAAATAAAGCCATTTAGCACCGGTTAACTGGTGCCAACTTAAATGGCGCCAGTTTTTTTTTTATTAAATTCAAGGTAGTTGGCACTGGTTTTAAGCATGAACCGGTGCCTTTGACTTGTTTTTTTTTTTTTTTTCCCGGAAATAATATATATTAATATTAATACTAATAAATATAATAATAATGAGATCATGCACATAATACCGATAATTAGTAATAATAATAATTATTAATTTTAATAATAATTATTATTATTATTATATTAATAATAATTAGTATTATTAATATATTAATAATAATTAGTATTATTAATATATTAATAATAATAATAATTGAAAATAATAACAAGGACATACATAAATATTGATAACCATCCCAAAATATGATATTAATTATAAAAATGTGGCATAACTACAAACAAACAAAATTAATTAGTAATAATGTAGTACACTAAGCTAGTTGGAACAGAAATAAATGATATTTACAAATTAAATGTGATGTAGGCCGCCAACATATCTCGAATTACATTGAGTTCCTCGCTCGTGAACGGATTTCCCGTTTGTCCCTTGCAAAACTTGGAATACATACACAAAACGTAAGTTAGTAGGAGTCAACTCATAAATAGTCATAACATGTCTTAATCACTTATGTATAGGTGGTCAAGGCTTGAAATTACAAGAAAATAGCAATGACGGGGTTTTAGAATGCTTTTTCAACCAAAATGGCCCGAGTAAGGCCATTTTCACTACTAGGATGCCTATTTCCTACATTTCTTGTCAAGTGAACTCATAAATAGTCATAAAATGTCTTAATCACTTATTTATAGGTGGCCAAGGCTTGAAATTACAAGAAAATAGCAATTACGGGGTTTTAGAACGCTTTTTCAACCAAAATGGCCCGAGTAAGGCCATTTTCACTACTAGGATGTCTATTTCCTACATTTCTTGTCAAGTGAACTCATAAATAGTCATAACATGTCTTACTCACTTAGTTATAGGTGGCCAAGGCTTGAAATTACAAGAAAATAGCAATTAAGGGGTTTTAAGACGCAATTTCAACCAAAATGGCCCGAGTAAGGCCATTTTCACTACTAGGATGCCTATTTCCTACATTTCCTGTCTAGTGAACTCATAAATAGTCATAACATGTCTTAATCACTTAGTTATAGGTGGCCAAGGCTTGAAATTACAAGAAAATAGCAATTAAGGGGTTTTAGAACGCAATTTCAACCAAAATGGCCCGACTAAGGCCATTTTCACTACTAGGATGCCTATTTCCTACATTTCTTGTCAAGTGAACTCATAAATAGTCATAACATGTCTTAATCACTTAGTTACAGGTGGCCAAGGCTTGAAATTACAAGAAAATAGCAATTAAGGGGTTTTAGAACGCAATTTCAACCAAAATGGCCCGATTAAGGCCATTTTCACTACTAGGATGCCTATTTCCTACATTTCTTGTTAAGTGAACTCATAAATAGTCATAACATGTCTTAATCACTTAAGTACAGGTGGCCAAGGCTTGAAATTACAAGAAAATAGCAATTAAGGGGTTTTAGAACGCTTTTTCAACCAAAATGGCATACCTCTTCAAGTTGTTGTGTGTCTGTACAATGACTCATCACTATGTCATACATGAATCTCATCATGTATAGGCCACAATCAACTCCGTTTTTCTGTTGTGCGCACTAGCATGAGGAACAAAGCACATGAATCAAAATGCATAGCAAATTAGCAACATCTTACACATTGTATATTAAGAAAATCATAACATCATGTGGCATTATCGTGGGTGCTTTCCATGTAGGACCTCGAGGAGCTCGAGGATTTATCTTCTTCATCACACTACATACAAAAGTAAGTTCAAATTTGATTAGTATAATTAATACATATGAGTTAGGTTATGATAATCAATAACAAGAATTGAAACAAACAAGATATTTACTTTTGCAGTATGGACCTCATGAGGCGCTTTCTTGGTTGAGGTAACCGAGCAGAATCAAAGAAGAAGATTGTGTTACTGGAAACACAAATCACCAGTAGGGTCCAATGATAACTACACACGAGATAAACAAATCAATATTTAGCCTAGTACAGCATATAAACTGGGAAAACAAATGAATTTGTCAATCATAATCAGACGTACTCCTCATAATATGGGACGATATAAACTTGTCTCTCGCAGCCACTGATTCCCTGATAGCCCGTTCAGCATAGTACAACACGTCAGCAGAGTTGCCTAAGATTCTAGCAGTGGACATCTGCTCAGGGCATAACCACCCAATTTGACACGGAGATTCAAGCTCCCATATGTGCTCCTGGAGTGCTCTGCATGCATGATAATAGAATGTTAATCGAAAACCAAACGACAATCACCACTAAACTGAATAACATAAATTGAGTACTAGTTGAATTACCTGATGCATATTTGAATGAGGGAAATGTTAAACATTGCACCACTTAGAAATTCCTTCACATCTTCTTTGAATAGACATGCCATTGCATCATCATCGTAGTGGAACATTTCCTTAGGTAGTGGAACTTGAATGGGGCTATCACTAGGTAACACGCAAACACGGTTGTGTAGATAAGTTAACTCCTTAGAGAGCGATTGAAGCACCGTGTCTTCAACTAGTGGAGTAGCTGAACCTCGTGAAGAGCTCTTGTTCGACGCTTTTCCACTCACCGAGCCATGTTCACTCTTCTTCTTTGGCATCGTTTGATCAATGCTTTTTGGCCCATCCACCCTCTTCTTTGGAGTTTGGCTTTTCCTCGATGGCTAATAAGAAAAATCCCACAAATGGTTAGAAAAGAATTTCATCCAACTCTTGGAATGAAAATCGGGTATAGGGTAAAGTGTGAACTTTAAATCTTAATTACCTGGTTCATCAACCGTATCCAAGCACATGGCCATTGCACAAAACTACCTTTTGCCGCCCAAAGTGTAGTAAACTCATCCTCCTCTACGGGCACAGGTATTAGGATGTCCTCGAACCCGGCAACCACATAATGGATCCCGACCGAATAATGCTCAGGTCGAAGCGGTAGCAAATGGACCGTACCTTGTTCGGCCGGTTGTGCACTACCATATGCAACGACATTCAAAGCTCCACTAAGCGATTCGCCCGGGTGAAGAATTTCACAACGGGTCTCTTCTTGCACCAATTTGGAATATCACTTGTAGGGAAACAAGTAGAACAAAATAAAAAGGGAGGAGCAATGGTATTATTTTATACTAATTTTGCATTGATATTTTAGACTAAAAAGTAGCGTGTTAATTATTTCAAGTGGTATTATGGAATAAGAAAGCTTAGTCAAGTAAATAGGTGATAGTATGGTACGGGGCCATGAAGGGAGTATATACTTTGCCATTTTATGGACTTTTGTTTCTAAGACGCATGCTATTGTCATCCTATCTTTCTGGGAAAGCTATGGAACCCTAAAGAGATAATTGAATGCCCTCTTCTCAATATTTGGAGAAGGGTTAAAAACTTACCTACATGCTAAAACTAATCTTGAACCTTTTCTGATTACATAGTCTTTCAAAACTAAATAGAAAATCCTTGAAGACACAAAAAAAGCGAACAGCGCATCAGCACAGCTGTGCACTGGTGCTGTGCCTACATGCTGTGCACTCGTGCTGTGCACTGGTGCTGCCTGCACTGGTGCTGTGCACTGGTGCTGGCTGCACTGGTGCTGGCTGCACTAGTGCTGGCTGCACTAGTGTTGTGCACTGGTGCTGGCTGCACTGGTGTTGTGCACTGGTACAGGCTGCACTGGTGCTGTGCACTAGTGCTGACTGCACTGATGTTGTGCACTGGTGCTGCCTGCACTGGTGCTGTGCACTGGTGCTGGCTGCACTGGTGCTGTGCACTGGTGCTGGCTGCACTGGTGCTGTGCACAGGTGCTGGCTGCACTGGTTTTGTGCACTGGTGCTGGCTGCACTGGTGTTGTGCACTGGTACTGGCTGCACTGGTGTTGTGCACTAGTGCTGACTGCACTGATGTTGTGCACTGGTGCTGCCTGCACTGGTGCTGGCTGCACTGGTGCTGGCTGCACTGGTGCTGGCTGCATTGGTGCTATGACAATACAGTTCACAGCACAGTGCACAGTTCACAGCTCACAGCTCATAGCACAGTTCACAGCTCACAGCACAACAAAGTTCACAGCACAACACAGCTCACAACACTGTTCACAGCTCACAGCACAATTCACGACTCAGAGCACAGGTCACAGCTCAGTTCACAGCTCACATCACAGCTCAAAGCAGAGCACAGTTCACAGCTCACAGCACAACTCAACACAATTAACAGCACAACTCAGCACAGTTCACAGCACAACTCAGCACAGTTCACAGCTCACAGCACATCTCAGCTAAGTTCACAGCATAACTCAGCACAGTTCACAGCTCATAGCACAACAAAGTTCTCAGCACAACACAGCTCACAGCACAGAAATAGCAGCAACACAGCACAACTCACAGCATCACAGCAGGCAGGCAACATGCACAGAAACAGCATGATAGAAACAACATGACAGCACAAAAACACGACAACAATAGCACAGAAACAGCATAGAAACCGGTCTTTACAGGAACGAAGAAACACGACGCAAACGAAGAAACGAAGAACATTTACAGCACATAAAACCGCAAACTTCATCTAATATAAAGAAATCCCTAAACAACTCACCTGTAGAACTGGAAAGTCATGAGGTGTTGGATTTTCAGGCGCCCTCAAGTACGCATGTGCAGGATTACTAACCTGCAAAAGTGTATTGATAATGCGAGGCTAATTAGAACCGACGTAACTCAAAAAGTCAAAACTTATACATTAGAAAACACCCTCATGTACCTCCTCGTCTCCATGTATCTCATCTTCTCCTTGTCTTCGTGGGTGACTAGAAGAGTCGACCGGTGTAGCCGAGGAGAAAGGCAAGCTCGACAAGTTCATTTTCTTTGCCCATGCATTGAACTCTTCTCGCATCTCGTTGCGCACTTGTTCCTTAATTGATGCCACCGTGGCATCCAAGTTGACTGGTGAGTTCACACTTGCCCGGGATCTCCCTGATTTGGTATATTCCGGACCCATCACCTTCTCCCATCCTAGCAAGCTCCCTCCTGCACCCAATACGCGTCCTGGATGGTAGGGCTTTCCCAAAGCCAAGGTGAAAGGGTCATTCTCCACTGTTGGGACGAGCTTGCCTTCAACAAGCTCTTCAGTGTACTCAAGCTGTAGCAAAAACAAAAAGGCAACATCAAGTTAGTGTTTATGTAAGGTGATATATATGCAAAAGATTCATGCAGTTCACAAGTCATAGTTGCTTACAAGTTTATCTGCCATGTCTTTCGTTTCCGGAGCCTTGATGGACCATTTTCCGGTTTTCTTGTCACGAGAATGCAAAGAACAAAAGAAATCTCCGGCACGACTCACTAAAGTACTGGTCGTGGAGTCAGAGGGCACTGTGGAGGACCCTAGAAGCGCAGTGGGGTATACTCCTTCATTCACCCACGTCTCCCTCATTTGTCAAACGTCATACACCCCATACGATGGTGGTATTGCTTCTTCAATGCATTCTTGGAATTCTGCTCCCTTATTTCCTACATAATTAGACATATTAGTTTCAAAACTACCAAAATATCAAATATATTATACATTTGTCATCAGAGTTACTTGAACTTACAATTACTTCTTTTTTGCTTTTTTGAAGAACGAAAGCATCCCAATCTTCCTTTGATACGCTAGGCCATATTTGCCATGGGAGTTTCTCTTCATCGATGACTTCAGCATCATTGCCACCTCCTTTCTTGTTCTTTGGTTTTCTCACAAGTTTCTTTGTGATAAACCGACGAACTAAGGTGGTCTTGAAGCCTCTGAATATTGCCGCAAGTAAGGATTCAAACACCCTTCGCTTGGCGTACTCATTTAGAATGTTAAATAGACTCTGCAAGCACAAATAACAGTCATTATTAGTTTGCCCATTTAATAACTATAAATTGAAGGAATTTGTAAATGTGCAAAAAAAAACCACTTGCCCTAGTATCATTCCAAAACGTGTCAATCAAGCCGGTAGGTACTTCGCTCAAACGAAGAGTAATGGGAATTTTGCGCGCACAAATCCCAACTTGAACAGCATACTGACGACGCCATTTGTCTGTAGGTTGGCCTACCCTGTCATACTCCAGGACCATTGGACCGACAGGTTTCTTGAAGCTTGTCGTCGGACCCTTCAGCTTTTTGTTCGCTGGTGCCTTTACCCCCCCTCCACTAGGATTCTCATCAAACGACTCAGACATTGCATTTTCGATAGGAGGCGCTTGTTCAGCTGCAATTTCAAACTCATCAAACATACGATCCAAAACATCTTGAGCCTGATCTTCTGCCTCACCCAAATCAGGCTCCTTGTTCACATCATACAACTCATCCCCATCCCCAGATGAATAATCATCATCATCCTCTACATCCTCCACTTCAATACGGTAGTGATCATCCGCCATGAGATGTAAAACCTGTCATTACAAACATAACACGTTATGTGTTGTAATATAAATAAATTTGTAAGGTAAACTTATAATCAAATATAAATTGCTGAATTATAATACAAATTAACATAGAAAATGCGGAACTAAGTTACTTCATTCATTTAAAAGAAAATACAAAAAATGGGCAAGTAAGTTAACAATTTCATTCATTTTCACCTAAAAATGTGATTTAATAATACTTTCGACGCCTACAATTTCAAACTAACAAAAAATAGTACCTCAATCTAATATTCCTTTGTCGTGGTCTGATCGCATGTAATTGGCTTGGTCGTCTATCTCATTTGGTACAACAGGTCTAGGAACAGTGAAAGGTGCCGAGTCATCAAACGCATCATATTCTTCCTCATCCTCGACATCTCCAACACCAAGGATTCTTCTTTTGCCGGCTAGCACAATAGACCAGTTTGAGTCGGCTGGGTCACTTACGTAAAACACTTGCTTGGCTTGAGATACAAGGATGAATGGTTCAGCACTATCATTCAGGTGGCCAAGATCTACAAGAGTAAAGTCATCATGTTTGACGTTACGCCTGATATTATCAACCCACTTACACCGGAAAAGAGCAATCGTGAAGTCACAATAATCAAGCTCCCATATTTCTTGAATTCGACCGTAGTATGACAACTCTGCATCAATAGGTGATTTATCCTTAGCACTTGCAAACTCCCTTGACGATGCCACAAGCGTTACACCACTGTTTTAGGTCGAGGATGATTTCAAATCCTGACGCTCAGTCCAAAATGTGTACCCATTTATGTCATATCCCTCAAATGAGCGAACATCATCCCTAGGACCATAAGCCAACCACCTTACTGTATCAGTGACACTCTCATACTTTCCACCCATCACTCGATCACGAAACCAACTCACAAACTTCTTATTATGCAACTGCATCAGTGCCTGTTCACCTTTCGATGGAAATTCATCACGCAAACTAGCCATGTGCTCGTCTAAATATGGGTGAACATCTGCAAAATGGTGCAACACATAAAGGTGTGCTTGTAAGAACTTATCTCGATCAGGTGACATTCGTTTCGACCCGATTGTGCCATGACCATCAAGTCTTCCTTCGTGTCGAGAAGTAGGAATACCAATAGGTTTTGCAACGGCTATATAGTCGGCCACAAAATTACCGACCTCCTCAGCCACGGTCCCTTGAATAATACTTCCTTCCGGGTGAGCCCGATTCCTCACTTTATCTTGCAATGTACCCATATGTCTTTCAAAAGGATAGCACCACCGCATGAACACTGGACCGCACAACTTAATTTTACGCACCAAATGAAGAATCAAATGCACCATAATGTCGAAAAACGAGGGTGGGAAGTACATCTCAAATTTGCATAAAGTCACAACCACATCCGCCTGTAAAGCATCAAGTGTACAAGGATCAAGCACTTTGCTGCATATTGTATTGAAAAATGAACAGAGGCTTGTAATAGCTTCCCTCACATGCTTTGGTAAAATACCACATATTGCAATTGGTAGGAAAACTTGCATCAGAACATAACAATCATGAGATTTCATACTTGTCAGCTTCAATTCTCCATTTAAAGATACAAATCTCTTCATGTTAGACGCGTACCCTGATGGAACCTTAATGCCATACAGACATGCACAAAACATCTGTTTTTCTA